CCACCCCACCCCCGTTCACTCAACTCCACCCCCAAATCCCGCCCTCAAACAAAGTCCAGACCCCGCACTAATTGGCCAGACCACCTGCTCGAGTCGCGAGCCAAACAGACAGCCGGAGACGACCCCGCTGTAGAAAAGGCGCGCGCCGTAACGCGCAGGCGCAGATCGCCATCCGTCGTGACTTCCGCGGTCAACTGGTTCACAGATTGATGTCAAAAAGTTCTATCTGAAGATAACGCTCTATGTTTGCGGTGTTGTTAGAACATTTTGGCAGTGACCTGGGCGGTTTCTGACCCCGCGGCTCAGGCGAGGGGATGGTCAAAAGACCATTGTTACTAGGTTACTTCTTTCGTCAAAAGCCGAGATTTCTGAACCAGGAAAGCCGATATCTCGAGTGGTAGGCCGTTGTAAAGGGGTAGTGTGGGGGCATAGAAAGGGGAGAGGGTAGGGAGAAGGAGGTATAGAAAGAGGGAAGGGGGGGGTATGTAAAAAGATGGTGAGGCAAGTAAAGAGGAAGAGAAAGAGATATCAAAAGAAGGAGGATGGAGGTATAGAAAAGAAGGAGCATGGAGGTATAGAAAGGGGGAGAGTGGGAGATATTTTTCACGCACTTGCTCTTTGTGATGAGCGAAAACTCCGCTCCCTGCAGTTTTTACAAACATGCTCACCAGATGCTCTACGTTGTTCATGAGCCCAGGAGAAAAACACAAGACAAAGAAAATGGAAAACATTATGATAACTGTACAGCTTTTCTTGTTTCTTTTTTTTCCCCTGGTCCAAGAGCGGTTTATGTGGCCACTAGACAGATAGGCTGATAACCAGAAAAACAGACAGATAAAATTATATAGACACACAGACAGAAGGACAGACAAGTAGACAGTGAGAAAGAGACAAAAGAAAGCAGAGATAAGAGAGAGAGAGAGAGAAAGAGAGAGAAAAAGAGAGAGAGAGAGAGAGAGAGAGAGAGAGAGAGAGAGAGAGAGAGAGAGAGAGAGAGAGGGAGGGTTGTATTTTTTTTCAATAACCCTCAAGTTTTTCACCTTTTGTCCCTCATCCTGCGTTTTGTTATTTCTCTTTTTAAAAAGCCAAGTATTCTCCTGCTCTTTCTCCTTCCTCCATCTGTGTTCTAAATGCTCCAAGAAAGCTGTTCTTGGTCTTCTCCTACTTCTTTTGCCTAATAGGTTTCCGGTGAGAGCATGATGCTGAATGCCAGTATAACTATTCAAGAGTCTAGTGATATTTAGTCTTAGAAGTCGACACGTCTACAGACTACATCCTGCATTGTTGATTTTTTTTCTTCTTATTTTCTTCATTACGGCTTGCCTGTATTACAACTGTGAGTACTCACATATTCAGCTCTTTATTCTTTCCTTAAAGTGTAAGTGGGTAATGCATGCTTGTAGCTTGAGACTTCTTTTAATGCAGAAACTTGCTAATAACCAGACTCCTTTAGCACGATCGTTTCGGTTCAGTTCGGTTCGATTGCTCGCCAGATTTAAGGCGCAAAGCGGCTATCGTGGCACAAACAGATCGCCCTATTCGTTGCCTCGAAAAGAAACGCATTTCTTTTCAGGCAACGAGTCGGGTGATCGGTTGATGATCGGTTTGTATTTGAGAACCGATCCCCCTGGGCGCTCCGTATAACGTAGAGCCTACATATTATTTCAAAATAAATTATTTGTAGCAACAAAGCGGGGAATAGATAGCAATAACTTATTAGCTTAACCCTATTCGTACCTCGCGTTTTACTACAGTATCCATACGACGTGGAGAACTCAGTGCCACCACTTTCCAAAGAGGAAATCTACTCGTTAATCCGATCCGTACGTTTTGCATGGCAGTATGTCAAAATGATTTTTTTGAGAAATACTGACAGTTTCAAAGAGATCTTCGTACTAGAAGTATTCTAAAATGTGAATAATACAACCCGGGGGTACAAAATGACCACATGACGTACGGATAGGGTTAATGACGACTTGTAGTTGGTGGTTAGCGGGTGCTCTGGTGTGGTTTGCTCCTTCTTTCCTATCAAACATCTATCGTCCTTATCTCTCCTCCTTCTTTTTGTGTATGTTACTCTCTTGTAACACCTCTCTTCTTCGGCACTTATATGACCCTTATTGTATTGCAAGTGCCGTAAAACTCTTACGAAAAAAACACACGACTTGTACGAGTTTAGGTGCCACAAACTCACCCCAGCAGATCCGTTGGGATATCCCACGCTGAGCTTGGGCACACTGTACTTGCTGTAGGCGCCAAGCCCCGCCTCTCCCCCCGGGGTAGACAGCACGATGTTGTTGTTGTTGGCCTCCTTGTGGACGTCGTACTCGTGGGGCAACGCCGCGGCGTCCAGGACTCGCGGGGCAGAGTTCTTCCCCTTGTTGTCAAGGTAGCGCAACTTCCGGTTCCGGTCGCGCCGGCGCAGAAAGCAGACGACCAGAACGATGATGGCGGCCAGGAACATGGTGCCGCACACCAGGCCCAGGGCGATCATGGCGTT